GACAGGAAGTCAAAGCGGATTACAACCAGAATTTGAAACCTGGGTACCCAGAAAAATTTGAAACCCGGTATGAATATATATATATATATATATATATAGTTTATTATAACCTTATCATGTGTGAGGTAGAAGTGCATACAGTATCCATTCCTTTTTAACCTGTATTTACAAGAAACGATAAATAAAGAGAAGAAACTGAAGTAGGGATAAGAATAAATAGTGAAATAATAGATATGTTAAGATTTTCAGATGACACAGTGATAATAACAGACAATGAAGAGGATCTACAGTAAATCTTAGAAATAATGAACTAAACAATGAAAAATTAGTAACCTACTAAAAGCTTATATTTAGAGCGTGAAACTGTATGGAACTGAGACTTGGGACCATAGGTAAAACAGAGTAATAGAGGACTTCTAACGTTTGAAACATAGTGTCACAGAAGGCTACTTAGAATAAGCTGGATAGAACACATAAAAAAGGAAGAAGTGCATCGAAGAGTCGGAGAAACAAGAAACTTTCTGAAGACCCTAAAAACAAGAAGAACCAATTTAATAAGACACATACCACGTCATAACAGTCTACTTAGTAGGATAATAGAAGGTGCCATTGAACGGAATAACAGCGGAAGGCGACCGCCACTAGACAACATTAATCAAATAGTTATAGAGATATGGACTGCAGATCTTACTACGAGTTAAAAAGGATAGCGGAGAAGTGTTACGAGTGGAAAATTGCTACCAACCAGCCTTTGGGCTATTAACAAAAAAAGTAGTCTGCATTCATTAGTCTTTTTTTTTAGAGCGATACCTAGTTAGAATTTCAAAAACAAAATTGAAAATTAATAATTATGTTATCATATAATAAATAGTATTATAATATTACAATCATATATAAAAGTCTATGAATAGAAAATTTAAATTAAAATTAAAATTATGTAACATGTAATATTTATATTATTAAATTAATTTAGTTAAAAACAAATTTTGGTAATTTAATTTTCTGAAAAATAAATAGTTCCTGAGGCTTAATTAAATTTAATTTAATTTAATTTTTAATTGTTTCTTGTATCATTAACGAAATTCAATCATTTTACATTCATAGTGTTTTGAAATTAATTTTAATTATTTATCTTACGACCTTAAGAAATAAAAAATATTTTTATTTAAAAGTTATCTTATCGTAATTTCATAATATTTACCGGGTTATAAAAATATAATAACAAATATGTACAAAGGAAACAACAATATTAATATAAAAATATGGGTTCTTTGTTGAAAGTACTTTACAAATATACATATATATTTATATATATTATAAAGGAATAATGTAGAATATATTAAATGATTAATTATTTTTGTTGCCTCTAATATATATATTATCACATAAAAAAATTAACAGTTGATACGACTTTGTTACAAACAATGATATATTTTAATATGAAATTTCAGCGAATTAAATATTTTGTTCATGAAATTTAAATTTAAACCATAAAAATCCAATGAATACAGTGAATAATAATTGTATTATATTAAAATATTTTAACTTCCATACACATTTTTACAATTTTTGCATTTATAAGTATAATTTTATAACTGGTCTCCATTCATTACATTTAAAATTTAAAATGCTACATCTAATTTATATACGTTCTACATAAATTATTTTTATTTATTCGTTTATTTATTTTTTATTTTATTAGCTTTTATTCAGTGACTATGACAGCTCAACAATTAATATTATTAAACAATATTATGACAACAGTATAAAAATAAGATCAAAAACAAAATAAATCAAAATGAAAATAAAATTAATTTACATGAATAATAATACATGATTAAAAAATAAAACCAGATTTGATAGGTTTTTTTCGATATTTTAATTTTTAAGCGGGTCATGAGGTTTTTTAAATTGTAATAATTTACATACTTATAACTCACTTAAAAATTCCCTTAAAGTTTGATTGTAGGTTAGTTTATTCTAATATTAACGCTAACATCATTGCATTTTAACTATTGAACGTAAATTTGCTGTTGTATCTATATCAGACAGAGACAACACATGCTCCTTTTGGCGTCCTTTTAATGTTAACTTCGTGACTTTTATGATATTACACATACTTAGTGACCAATGCCGTGTTAATATATGTGCTTAGCTAAAACTTTAACGTCCTTTTTATTAATTGAAACAATTATTGAAAATAATATCTAATAATAATAATATTTTTAATTTAAAAATACCTAAAGACGCATTTTTAAGTTTTCGGTAGATACTGGAATTAAGTAGAGCTAAACGAACAACATTTAAAGAAAATATTTATTATAACTGTCGCCGAAAAATCTATATATTCAAAATTTGAACATATATATAATATATATTTAATATAGTGGGAATCCAACTCTTACCTTCGATGAACCATAATTGTAAAATATCAACGTGAGAGTGTTTGGAATAACTGTGAGAAAAAATTGAAAATTGTTCAATGATGTTGTCAGAAAATCGGTGTATAGAAACGGGTTTTTATATAGTATAAAAATAATTTCACAGTAAATATTACTTATAAAACATTTTATAACCCTTATATATTACCTTCATAATAACTATAACACACATATTAATAGACGTGAAAGAAATTCTATTGTTTCAATATCATACTATAAGATCAACACAAATTGGTAAAAAAATAATTTTTAATTGAACTATCGTAATTCAAACGTATGCGATGATATAATTATTTTTTATCAATGTCAATTCGAACGGAAGTGGTAAGCGATATAATTATTACAAACAAAACAACCTGACATACCTTGAACTGTATATTATAACCATGTTCGGTGTATAATAAATAGGACTCGGGACTTCTAGGAGTTTGCATGTTTTTAAATAATTATCAAAAACATGGCTAAGTAACAGAAATTTGTTTCGTAGCAATACAATTTTATACCTATTTAAAATTTAAAGTTGCATACTTTGCATATTTGATCATTTTTCATTTAATAAATGCATATTTGACAATTATATATATAAAGGAGTAAGTTTTTTAATTTTATAAAAAAAAATTATGGATTTATTTCTTTATCTATGACTCAACTTGATACCCAATGTGTAGCACTAACTAAATCCATTAAAATAATTAAAACTACAAAAAAACATATTAATTCTGCAAAAATTGAAGGATCTATACAAGCTAAAGCAATTGATGACAAAATTAAAAAAGTTTTAGAAAAAATATTGGATTTGATCAACTACAAAAAATATCGAACATTTTAAATGGATAAAATGAATCTATGGACTTGCCTGAAGATATTAGTTATAGTGACCTACCATTTTTTAAGTTTGCACCAATAAGTTCCATGTACGTGGAGCGTTCCTTTTCTAAACATAAAAATATTTTAGCTGATAACAGACGATCATTAAATTAGTTCAATGTAATGCTCAAGGTAATAAGTACTATATTAAATATGGAAAAAATGTTTTCAATTTAATTTATTTTTAAAACAATTTTAAATTTTTTGTTTTAGACAAAAACTCAATATAAGATAAAAACAAATCTGAAAAAAAGAAAATAATTATCTCAGATCATCATATCTATTTTATCTAAAAATATTATTATAATTTATTACCAATTTAATTTTTTTATTTAATTAATTATTAAAAATATAATTTTTTTTTAATACATATTTTAATAACATAATTATTGATTCTTTAGGGCATAAATGTATACATATTTTAAGGTTTTTAAGTGCATGAAATCCATGGCCCTAATAATGAATGATGACGATATTCACTTTTTATAACATAAGAAACATTCAAACATGTGTATTTATGATTTAAATGAATAGGTCAAAGTAGCAAAATAAATGATGCTGAAAAATATTTATGGCAGGAGGAATGGAAGTAAAAAGAGCGCCGTCGTTAGCAATAAATTTTTTTTGATGACGTTTTCGTCGCGGACGAGCGATGACCTGCGGCGATTGTTACGTGACGCGAAATTGCAATAGCCCGCGCTATCTAATCCCCGGTAACCACGGTATACTCACTATTGGTCGTCAACGCCGCCCGCGCACCACAACGATACACGAAACATTATCATCGCGGTTATCATCAACGTTATCAATACATCGTTTAACATAAAAGTTCAGGCTCGGAATCCAATCACTTTTCCGTGCTAAGAACAGCAACAGTTGGGCGTTCTACGGTTCAAACGAACCGCCATGGAATGGAATACGGCATATGGTCGATTATTAACCGACCCGTAGCCACTTCGTTGTGTGACGCTGCCCAGAACAAAGTGAAGTTTTCGTCATCGTCGTTAAAATTAACATCGTTATTCGTCGACTACGACGCACAAGGATATCGTAATAATAATAATTATATATTACATGGTCATGTGCGGACGGCATGCACAGTGTACGATCGTTGTACTCGAACACGCGACGCACTTAGAGCCTCTACACCTGTACCAGTCTGATGCCATTTCATCTCCAACATCACTTCTACCTGCGATTCCTATCGCGAGTAGCAAACCATTATTGTCAACCGCATATACGTTTATACGATACCCATTTTTCCGAAGAAATCTTGATTTCCATAAATTCCGTTACTCAACGCCGTACGGTCTTAACTATCTTCCCTCGGAAGAACATGAATGTATCGAGCCTACGCTGCGCCAATATTTGATAATTATAGCATTACGGCACGACCGTGTGTAGTTTCGGTTCGCGTGCGGATTTCAATGAAAACCGCCGGTCGACATTCGGTCGGAATAACAACGTTCAACACGAATCCGTTTCCTGAACGTACGTCATTACGTACTTCGCAACGTCTACGTATTTCGACTTAATAATGGATTTTAGCATTAATAATAGGAATAGAAAATAAAAACGTGCGTGCATCTACTTGATATGCATTTATTGCCAGTCCACGGCGTCGCCTCACCTCCACCAATCAGCCATGTGGCCGCCTCCACGGACACGCGTCACGGCAGTGGACCTGTCGCGTTGTAGTAGTAGTACACTTTAGTAATTGTTGCGTACCACTCGGTACCTGTATTGCAATAGTATAGTACCAGTCGTAGTACTAGCCAGTAGTCTTGTATAGTTACGTTTTGGGCGTCCGCCGCGCACGCGTATCCCGTTTCATTACGTACAGTATTGCATTTTTATATTGCACATGTAGATAGATGCACATTGTTATTATTGTGTTCATTGTTAACGATCGTTTTACTTATCATCGGTAATTTATACTTAAACGTTCCGTTATCTCTTCGGATCCATCCGCTCATTCAATAATTACAAGTAAGTCTTGTTAACTTATCACGTTAATACGCAATGTTTTCGTATTACGTAACGTTATATTGTTATGCTACGATTTATTAAAACCGTAAGATTAACTATTTCACCTAAGATGGTTTCGCTTTGTGGTCACTTCTCAATCGTCCCCGTTCTCGTCGTTTCCTGTCAACTTGATTTACACGTTAAAATGTTGCGTGCTACAAATCTGTTGTTGTTATTAACCTGCTGTTTTGTGAACGTCGTACCAGCAATACCTGCCTCTACCCATTAGTACTTCGTCGTACCTTACCTTCTGAATAAATAATATTATTACTCTTGCCTACGTAGTTTAGACCATAGGTATATACACTATAGTCTATACTCTATTATGTTGAATAAACAAAATGGGTTTTCAACAAGTTATGTGTTTGTCTTGTACAAAATATAAAATAAACTACTCGTGCTTATATGATTGTCAATAAATTGCATAACATTTGAAATACATTATTTTGACATTGAAATCAAAAAATCAACGTGTTTTATTCAAGGTCTACATAACTCAATTCCTTTTTCATTCTATCTGATTTGTTTTTATTTTATTGATAGTTAACATGAATCACTTAAAATTTCCTAGAAAAACGTTAACCTACGACAACACTAAGCGAGCCTCTAACGGTAATGGCTAATGAGCAACTTCAATTTAAAAGAATGATTAGATATTGCATATTATATTTTATATTATGTCAAACCCTAATAGACTAAAATCATGTTTACAACATTAATTATGTTAACAACTTAAATGATCTTTATGATTTAAAAATTTAGTCATCAATGTCATTTATGTTAAAAACTAGTAAATAATTAAATATTTACTTTTACCCTTGGAAAATCAACCATAAAGTTATAGACTTAACACTTACAAATGTCAATAACGATTAATGTTATCATTATGCAGTTATATATATCTTACTTTTTAGGGCTTTGTCACAATAAATGATGGGAGACGTGGTGAAGTAATACCGTAAGGCTTAGTACTTCACTGTCTACCGATTCTAAAGCGTAAAAGAAAATATCTCAATCTTATGTATATAACATGTTGTGAATTATTGACACTGGATTTAATTTTAAAAAAAAATTAATATTTTATAAAAAAATGCTGTATAATTTTTATTTAATCTACATTTTTGACTTATTTATTCATTTTCTATAGATGTCAATTATAGGTGATTTAAATTTTCACAAGAAGTGCACATAGAAATTTATTACATACTTAACCTGGAATAAAATTGAAATTAAAGTAGAATTAGAAAAATTAAGTTAATTTTAAATCTTATACCCTTAATACTCTTTCCTATTAAACACAAAAAAATGTATCATCACTCTGCTCAAATTGAACTTGTATTTATATTTTTAAAGCTTACTAATGAGTTTAAATTATATTTATTCCCTAATAAGTATTATATATATTTAGGGTTCAATGCAAGTTTACACAATTTTATTAAAATTTGATTTTGTTTAAATTTGCACATTTGTATTAATATTCTTGGAAAATAATTATTTGTACAAAAATATTACTATTCCATTTAATTTTGCATTTCCTTGTTATATAATAATTTTGTTATATAAATATATATTTTAATATACCAACATAAGTTAATAATTTATAGAAAACAACCAGCAACTAGTAAAAATTACCTCAAATTATTCCATTTAAATAATGTAAAAATCAATGTTCTTTACTTTTACAGTAAAGATGATACAATTTACTATTTTATCAAAATAAAATATTACCTATAAATCATGTTTTAAATTATTGCTTTAATATAATGAAAAACATTTTGCTAAATAATATATTTATGTAGTATTTAGTATATATATATATATATATATACAATAAATAATATCTTGGTTGTTTTAATACATAATTTAATCCCTAATCTGAACTTCATTGATAATATATTATGAAATATAATTTAATTTTAATTTAATGAATTATAGTCATCATACATTTTGGTTATTTAATTGACACATAAATAAAAATTGCTTCATGTTCTTTTGGTTTACTTTTTTCAATATTTTTTCACGTAAAATAATCAAGAAGCAAATTTGACTTATTTCTAAGTTACTGAGAATGGATAGACTATCATGTTTGTATATATTTTTAATGATAGAATATATTTATAAACAATATAACTAATATTAAAATTGTAATTATTTAATAGGTGTTAATTTTTTAATAAATACAAAACAAATAACAATATTACATATAATATACAAATAGAATATGTACAACATATTTAATTATATTGCTTTATAGATTCTTACAAACAACTACTACTTTTTTTTAAAAAAATAATTTTATTCCTATCCCCATTATATAATAATATATAATTTACATTTTCTACTCACATTTTTTTATTTGCATGACTAAGCAAAAAATGATAATTATTATACAAATAATCCAATAAATTTTTTATTTAAAAATTTAACTAAAATTTGTTTCACTAGTTTTATATATTCTAATTAAAGTGAAACTAACTAGGCCCAACTATAATTAAGTACAGAATTATACTAAGGTAGTCCATCATTAGTCACACAAATAATAATTATCCTTATTCAAGTGATATTAATTATGATTTAAAATAATATATTAATCACTATCCTAGGTATCTGTAAAAACCAATAGACTTTTATAAGTAAGATTTAAAAATTGAATTTAAAATACTTATGTATTGAAAAAAATAATACTACACAAAGAAATAACTAGGTAGCTGTATTAAATGGTTGTCCAGAATATCTCAATATGTTCACAAAATCATCAACCATATAATCCAAAGCTTTGGGACTAGCATCATCATTCTTCGAAAAGACCATTGCCTATTTAAAAACATCATATTGATATCCTGAGTGTTCTGACACGACATTAATGGTAAACATAACACCAAAAAATTTTATGCCAAGATGACAAATTATGCAGATCTGAACATTTTTAATTTACTTCTTTAATTGGTTAAAAACAGAGCTAGCGTTTTGTAGCATTTTACAAATTTCTTTTGATATAATCAATTATTCTGTAATGTATGTATCTATGCATACTAAAGCTTTGATTACTCATGGAAAAATAATCCAGTGGACCCTTGGTCTAGCAAAGATCTACCCATGCTAATAGGTAATAAATAATTAAAAGCATATTTAATATAAAATTATGAATATGTTTATTTATGTTTATGTTATATGTATCTCATTATTTTCGGTTTAAATACTTGTAAGCAAGGAAATAAAATTTAAAATATTTAATTTATATTTAAAAAATGTTCTACTAGAGGTATACTTCTTTAAATGTAAAGTGTATTTTCATGTTATTTCTATTCTAAAATTATTATTATATTTATGTTTACTTTTATCGCAGACACCGGTCGGCAAAGAGCAATCATTACACATATAATAATCTATAAGAGTGTATCTATCATTTTGATAAACTTTAAATTTATTTTATTTTAAAGTAATTTAACTTTACAAGATTTATTTAACTTTATACTTTCATGGTATTTTTAAATTTTGTAGTAATAATGGTGATCTGTTTTTTGAATTCTCAATATCCCTCGGTGGGCCCTTTAAAGTCAAGTCCATGGCTCATTGCACATCATGCCATTCTATCAGTACACCACTGATAGTATATCATTATAAATAAATTATAACATATTATATTTATTCCATTTTACTATATAACAAAAAATAGTTAACTAGGAACTTGTTATTATAAAAAAAAATAAAAAAACTTAATACTTAATAAAAAATAAGAAAATATAATCATAATTTCATTCTATCAACATTTATATTGAAAGTATTGCACAGTTGGTTATTTTACCGGATATTAATAATTTTATTTCATTTCTAGTATTATGAGAGTTGTTGAAATTATATTACAATACATATTAATATATGCAATGCATAGATGGTGTATAGTATATATATATAATGCTTACAAATTATTTGTATATTATTGTTATTATAATATCTAACATCAAGTTCACATAATATTCCAAATATGATAGTTTATCATTACTAATACGACAAAGATAAAATGCCATTAATTAATGTAGTAATATCTTACCAACTCTAATATTATTATAAACATTTTTTATTTTAGTTGTGTTAAAATTTATGAAGATAAATATTATGTATTATAATTGTATGATTTTGTTATACTAGAAAATCTGAGTAATTTCTCTCAGAGTCTAGATTCCTTAGCAGACGCACAGAGTTATATGCAATAATTGTGTTATAAATTACTATATTATAAATAATATAATACCATGAAGTCGTGCCAATTTTAACTCGGTTTACTTGAAAAAAAAAACATCTCTGAGATATCGGTTTTAGTCCTCTTGGGTTTTGTTATTACTTCAATAATATATTAATATTATTTTAATTTCTATATTTTAAGTATGAAACTTTAAGAACTTGATTATGTATTATGGGTTGATTTAACTATTAGTATACAACATGGCTTTTATTGATTTCTTATCTGCAAATTGTCTTTCAAATTTGAACACAATGTATATTTGTATGTGTGTGTATGTAATTATTACATTCCATTTACAAATATTAATATCTGTGTTAGATGTTAGATAGTAATTTTTTAGGTTTTGTAACAGTTTGTGTATTACAGTGATAATGGACTATTTATTTATAAAAATAAAAATTAAAAATACGGTTAATACTCATCAATTAATATATAAATAAATAAAAACTTAACCTGGAGCCTAGTTTTATAAATAACCAAAGTATTTCTATTTCTTAACATATGTATCTATTAGGTATATGAACTCATTTTAAATAATCTCTCCTATTAAAATTAATTATTTCTATATAAAACAACTAATTTTTCTCAATTTATTCCTTCTTTTATTTTTTCATATTTAGTCAACATTTTATTAACTTTATATACCTGATGATGAATTTTTTAATTTGAAACCATCCGTACTTTACAAATATAATAATATTCTAGGCTAAGCTTTTATTTATTTATTTATTTATTCCTATACATAAAATATTTGTTTATTTATTTATTTATTGACTATTTATTGTTAAAATTACAAAATATTTAATTAATAATTGTAGAAACTATTTAGAATTTTTAAAATAAATAGGTACATAAAAAGTAATAGACACTTATTAAAACTGATTTTACATAAATATATATTTGAATTCATATTAATTTTATTTACTGTTTTTTAATTTAGACAACTCATTTTTATTAAATGTTCAATTTAACCATATATTTTTTAAAATCAAAAATTAATTATATCGATAACATGAATTTAATTTTAGTCTCTTTCTAATTTATGATATTGAGTAGGTTTCTCTGTTAATTGCTCATTAGTTGTAAAAATATTTTGTTGTATAACCCTCTTTAATATTTTCTCATTTACAATCACTTTCTTATATACATAATATAATTATTGACCTTTGTATTTATTATTAATAAATTTTAAAAAAATAAATTAACTTCAAAGACATTTATTTAGTATAATGGTGTAATATCTGTCAGATTTTAACTCAAACACCTGTATAATATTTTTATAATAATTTATTTATTATTTATTGGAAATACTCTATTTATTATAAATATGTATACTTCTCTGAGTCATTAAAATTCAATCCTCAAAAATTATAACTGATTAGGATAATATATAATACAAAATTGTAATTTTGTTAAATATTTTTAAACGTCAGGGTATTACCATCAAGTATAGAATACAAATTCACCAGGTTAAATTAAAGGTCAATTAAATTTGTATTCTGTTGTCATCGGTAATTAAAAATGAATCATAATATTATATTATGGTAATTTACACATTTGAAATGAAAATGATATACCTATCTATATAAACATGCAGGTTAACTAAAAAAAGTGTTTTTAATATTTTTCAACATACTTTTTCAGTTACCAAATTCCATAAGTTGTAAATAAAAATGGAGAATTCTGAAGGAGTAAATATTGAATCTACAGTTATATCAGAAGAGCCATTGATTAGTCCTTTAGATATTGCTCTTTTTGTCGTCATTATGACTGTTGCATATTTTTGGTATTTTAAAAGAGATAAACGGTCTAGTTCATCAGAGAAAAAACCCTACACTATTCAGTAAGTACATATAACATTATTATTTCATTAAATTAATATAATTTAAGTTGAGAACTAAATTTAAAGTGGTAATATTTTTATTACTATAAAAACAAAACATCACAATTTATGTAGATACTAACGAGTTAATTAATTTTTTGGTAATAAAACCATTGGCATTGAATAACTAAACTTTTCTTACTTTTCATTAAAACATTTTTTTTTTTTTCATTTTAAACAGTATACCTTAGTATTCCAAGGTATCTAGGTAGCAAAATAGTTTTATCCTCAGTTTTATCTTTATAGCTTATAATCTTATATGAATAATTTAAAATGATTTCCTCTTAAATTTAATTTATGCATTTGAATTTATTATCAGAGTTTGATGAAACAAACATACAAATGATAAAATATAAATTCTCTGTTTTATATAAATATATAAAATCCCCATTTAATTTCCCCAAATTCCCAACAATTAATGGAACAATGAAATCTTTAACTATTATCATTATATAACATAAAATGGGAACATTGATTTGGCATGTTACGTTTATAAAATAATCATTTTTATGAAAAATAAAACTGATTTCTACTTCATAAGTTACAGATATCATTAAATTAACAAATATTAACAATTAGGTATAAAAAAAAATGTATGTAAAGACTAAATTTTTAAAAAGTGGAATGAATTATTTTTGCTTCTGGTTATAAATATTGGTTTTAACTATAGAATTGGAATATCTTGTTACAATAGCTTAATAATAAAAAAATTAATTTTCTATTTTACATAATTTTTGAGGTGTGGAATAAAATAAACACTTACCATGTTTAAAATCTTAAAATTATATATTTTATTACAAAATACCTTTATAATTATAATTTATAACTTATAATATTTTAATATTAAAAAATGTAGTGGTCTCTAAGGTGCTATTTTCAAAGAAGTGCTATAATACTTAATGATTTCTTTAAATCGAATCAGTTACAAGAATATTTTACCTACTGATTAAAAAAACTTCATATAGTGGACATTGGAGTTCTCCCTTCCCCTTATTCTTATCATATCAATAAGATGTTTTTTAAAATAGTTTCCATCAACGATATCGAAAAAGCCAATCTGTTCGGTAAACACTTATCGAAAATTTTCACACCTCACGCCGATATAATACCAAACTTTATCAACAACCCTCTTCCTATATCATTACCTGCTAAACATACCTCACCAAACGAAATATTATTTTTAATTAAAAAATTAAAAGATGAGAAATCACCTGGTTACAATCTAATTACCAAAAAAGTTCTGAAAAATCTTCCTCGCAAACCCATTCTACTAATCACTTTTATCTACAACGCTATGTTAAGACTATCATATTTCCAGCTAATATGGAAGTTGTCAACTGTATTACTTATACCAAAACCAAATAAACCAAAGACTCTAGCCACCTCCTGCAGGCCGATAAGCTTACTTCCAACTCTAGCTAAACTGTTCAAAAAAATATTACTCAAAAGAATCAGACCTACTATGCAAACTCATAAAATTATCCCAAACTCTCAATTTGGATTTAGAATAAAACATTCCACTGTCCACCAAATTCATATGCTGATAGAAAAAATATCATCTTCCTTCAAAATGAAGCAATTTTGCCCTGGGGTTTTCCTGAACGCGGTGCAAGTTTTTGACCGAGTGTAGCATAATAGCCTACTATACAAACTCAACATTTTTCTGCCTGCACCATATTATCTCTTTATTTGCTCATATCTCGAAAACCGCTCTTACAAAATCCAATATGGAAGCTCATACTCATCACACTTTTTCATTATAACTGGTGTACTACAAGGCAACGACCTCTCTCCTGATCTATTCAATATTTATATGACCGACATATCAGTTACAATAAACACTACCATGGCTACTTATGCAGACAACACCGCAATACTTTGTGCTAGTATTGACCCTGACGAAACATACAACTGTCTAGATTCTTCAACTTAGATTCCATCGACAACTGGGCAACCAAAAAGCGAATAAAAATAAATCCAGACAAATCTGTTTATGTACCATTCACTTTAAAAAGAACAGAACCTCCACCTGTTCACTTTCAAGTTACTTAAATTCTATCATCTCTTAATATCAAATATCTCGGAATTACGCTTGATAAAAGATTAACCTGGGGCCCACACCTTAAACAAAAGAGAAAACCCTCAACAGCCGCCTTCACCTACTTCGTCCGATTTTTAAAGTCAAAACTACCAATAAACATCAAGCTTATTATGTATAAATCTCTTTTGCGACCAACATGGGCATATGCAATCCAAATTTGGGGCTGTGCAAAGCCGTCTCAAATTCGCACCATACAAGCATTCCAGTCCATTACCCTCCATATGATAACGTCTGCACCTTGGTTTGTATCCAACTCTTCACTACACTCTAACCTAAAAATCGAGTTAGTTGACCAATTAGCCACCAAACATTACAGTTCTTTCTATTCCAAACTACCTTTCCATATTAACCCATTAGTAACACAAATCTCATCTACTCAATCCACAAATCCCACCCATAGGCTTAAAAGAAAATATTGCAGAGATTTATTAGTCTAAAATAAATACACGTTGGGTTCCATCACTGTTTGGCCTCCCTCTTCATCTTATTCAAGTTAAACACATAAAGTACATAAACTATCCAATTTAATTATTGTGATGTCAAACACAGATTGTAAATATATAATTAAGAAAAAAAAATAGTTTACTTGTGATATTATTTTACTTTACGCCAAACTGAAGTAATAATAAAAACTTATGAATCATTTTATTCAAAAAAATCTATAATACGTATATTGTCTATCTCAGAAGTTCCCGAATTTTTTTTATCCGAGTGTCTCTAAATAATAATAAAAAAAAATTTTCATGGTATAATGTATGCAACTTAATTCCTCGCCTCCCCCGTTATGAACTCGTGTCTCCCAAGAGAGATGCACTATGCGGTTTGGGAATCGCTGCCAAACTCGCCATCTTATTTCATTGTTAATAGAGTATATTGCTTAACTTTAAAAAATAAAACATTTTATATTTGTATAGAAAAATTATAAACGATATCAACAATTTAAGTACCTGTTTATGTATTATATCAAAGAAAATTTTTAAAAAAAAATAATAACAGTAATTATACGTAAAATTATTAATTGATGTCATTATTCAAACATCAAGCTATGAGTGCTTATTAAAAAGACTGTAAAATTACTTACTAACCTTGCATTATATTTTCAGTCATTAAACATATTAATTTAATTTAAATGGTTATGTTGGTGTATTATGTATATTTTAATAAGTATTTAACAACATTTAACATTATTCCATGAAATTTAATTTTTTTTTTTTGTTAAAATTCTTAAAACCTATATGGATATCTGAAAATAACTTGTTTAAACTATGTTCCTTATCTTTTTTCGGATACTATTTGGGGTTTTGGATGCAATCCGTTATTTAAAAAAGTATCAAAACAAAAGTTTCTCGCTTAGTTAAAAATATAATGCTTAAATAATATTTTAACGAATCTTTAACTTTTAGTCTAAAGTACACCCTAATACAAATGGAAATTAATAAATAAATAGCTACAATTCTTTCCTACACAATTGATGAAATTATTCTCTATAATATAATATACCTGTTAGTTTCATTATTATTCTTAATTAAATTTTTCATATTTCTGATGTATAATATTATACTTAATTAAAATAATTTAATAATTATTAAATTATACAATCATTATTAAAATGACATTCCTTTTTGTGAGGAAACAAAATATTCATGGGCGCAACTAGGACCCAAATATTGGGGTTGCTAAAATTGCTGAAAATAATATTAAATAGTATTTCAACGTAATTATTATAGATTATATAGATCTGAAAAAAAAACAAGAGTACTTAATTTGAATTCAGGGATGCTAAAAACCCTTTTGCATCCCCCTAGTTGCGCCTATGAAAATATTACATTTTATTTAAATATATAATTAGCTAACTACACAAATTAATAATTTTTAGACCGTCTCCTATGAGTTCCGTTGAGCAGACATCCAATAGTTCCTTTATAAAAAAATTAAAATCTACGGGTCGAAGTTTAGTTGTCTTTTATGGAAGTCAAACTGGAACTGCAGAAGAATTTGCTGGAAGAATAGCCAAAGAAGGCGCTAGATATAAAATGAAAGGAATGGTTGCCGATCCTGAAGAATGTGACATGGTAAATATTTTATTATTTTACTTTTAATACTTATAATTAAATTAAACAATTACCTTGTTTAACTAATATGTTTTTTAATTTTTGATAATTATAAATAATAACTTTTGTTCGATTTTTTCTTGATACATGCTTATTGATCTCTAGCTTCATAAATAATTTTTTATTCCGCATAAATTCTATAGTTTTTTAGATTTTATATAGTAAATTAACCTATTATTATAGTTAAAAATAAACATATTATCATAAACATATTATATTATATTATTAACATTTTAGAAAACATATTGAAAATGCGATACTTTTAAAATTTAATTCAAAAATACATAGGTATTTCTATTATTTCTCTTTAAAATGATAAGTTCAATAATATTTGAAACTGATATAATTAAATGGGCTTATTTTAAACTTGATTATCGATAAAGTGAATCTAATAGAATAACACAACGTTTGTGTTTCTATATATTCTTATTTTTAACAGTATTTACTTATTACTTATAAATCAAATAATGGAAATGCTAAATCATTTTTAATAGCACATGTTTAACAATTTATATTAATCATTAGATTTTCACTCAACTGTGAAATGATTAGTTAACAAATATAAAATCGAGAAATTTCAATTGAAATAGGAGTTGAAGGTCATTTACTACAATGTGGATAAATACAAGGTTTTTTTACATTATAGTGATCCAATGTCATTGTGTATAATATTATAATGTAATAAAAAATGATGATAGATCATATTTTAATCAATCACATATAAAAGTGTAAAATTTGTCTAAATGGCTCAGATTATTGTTAACCAATTATTATTGGTAACCAATTTAAAAATATAAACGAAAATGTTAATAGACATTTTATTCGAAATAGGCCATTGGTATAATATTATAATTTAAGTAAGAACACTAACAGGAAGTCGTTGATCGTACGTAAATATAGGATGCCCCGAAAAAAAATACGTTTTTTAGAACTTATAATAATTTTCTGATAAAATACTTAATCTTTTCTAAGTTTTTTATATTTTTATTTAAAAGAATATTTACAATTTAACTCGAATTGGCATGAAGGGAAAGATTGACAGAACCCTAAGGAAATACATTTGTTCATGTTAAAAACTATTACATTAGGATCGCGATAATCCGAAAAAGATTGAAGAAAATTATTTCTTATATTCCATTATTTACAGGTACATAAAATACACATCTATTGTTAATTAAGTAAAAATTTTAATTTTCTTTTTCTTTTATAATTTATTATCCTGACAAAATATATGTAAAATAAATGTATATTTTATATTATATTACTAATTATATTCATTACTAAAACGGTGCATTAAACTTAAGTGAAATAGAACTAAATAATTTTAGATCTTGAATGTGACCATTTAATAATTTTATCTCATAGTTATAAGTTGAACCCTTAATCTTTTTTTTAAAACTGCATTGTGTTGAAGTGACCAAACCTAATTTTCTAATTTCAAATGTCATTTTAAATTTCATATGACTAAAATTACTTTTTGAGTACTTTTAAAACTTCAAAGTAAAAACTGATCATTATAATTTAAAATTACAACTGTTATTATACCTAGTTATTATATTCTTCTTCTTCCTTGGTTTCAGCCATTCAAAACCATACCCATGGGCGCCCGGAGGGGGGAGTAAAGAGGGGGCATTTGCCCCCCTGCAATTCAATAGAATGTTGAATATTTTAACTTTTATTTTGATTTATCAACATTTTATCGATATTTTTACTTTAGTGTGTGCCGTGTGGTGTTGTTGATCGTAATAACAATATATTATAAGGCGTACCTACAAAATAATGCGTATTACATTAATCGCGCAAAATTAAATACGTTTCAATTCTGTGAATTAATATTAATCGCCTATTGTGTAAACTACTTATGACGATCGACGCACCACGGCCACATAGCTTCAATTTTTATTTAACTAATTTTTTAGGTTGTAAGGAATATATTTTTAATGTTCTTTTTGGTGTTGGATTTCATATAATTCTAACACAATTTGTAGTTTACAAGGAATAAACTTTTTTTAATGTATTTTTTTTTGTGTTTGATTTCATTATGCCCCCCCCTCTGATAAATTTCCTGCGGGCGCCCATGACCATACCTCTAAATAAACATACTGCCATCTATTAAAGTTATTGTATATTTGACTTAATTACAAATTGAATAATTTTATATTAAATATAAAATTTTAATTGTAATTCCAATATTTGAGTATTTTCTCCAATTTACTATTTAAAAAATAACATTTATAATCCAAATTTAAAAATATTAAAGTTACTACAAGTTTAAAAAGTATTTTCAATGTTAGTTTAAACATTTTTAACATTATGCCATTATAACAATGTAATTAGTAATTAACGTAACATTGATAATAATATGTCTATAGACTAAATTATACACAATTTATACTTTTTTCATACATCTATACATTTTTATAAAAATTTTATTTTACACAGTTACTTATTATCTGACATATATTGGTCTTGAATAAATTTAAACTATATGTATTACAAATATTTTGTACATTTTAAGAAAATCGAATTTGAATAACTATAATCCATATTCTATAATTATAGTAATTAGTTGTATATTAGCCAATCGACTAACAATACTAACTGTAAGGTTTTCATTTGTTTTTTCAAGCTTTTTCAATTTATTAATGTAACTTAATTTAATACATACCTACTAACTTTTTTATACTAACATAAAGCTTTATTTTTATACTTTTTAAAAGTAGAATTTGTGTATATATATATTATATAACTTTAGTTAAATTTTTATGATTTATTATTCTTATAATCTTTATTTTTAAACAATATAAATAATAAAATATATCTTCAAAGCCTATAAAATAAAAAATTAAACATTTCCTTCTAATAGATTATAATATATTAATTATATTATTAGTGTGTACTATGAACCCAAAAATTTTCTTAACTGATGTATTTATGTTACTCTAAGTTGTTTTAATATATTCAATGTATTAGTTATTGTTAAATGTAATTATACTGTAATTACTTATTGAATTTAAATCAATTAGTCTATTATAGAGTGTTAATTTTCAAATTATTTAGTCACTATTATTAAACAATTATTACTTCTAGTAAAAATATTTATTTTATTTTATTATTTGTTTATTCTTTATTCTTTATTATTTTAGGCTGACTTAGTTCAAATGAAAGAAATACAAAAGTCTTTAGCCATTTTTTGTATTGCAACCTATGGTGAAGGGGACCCCACTGATAATGCCATGGACTTCTACGAATGGCTTCAAAATGGTGATGCAGACTTAGAAGGATTAAATTATGCAGTAAGTACTTTATAAGAGTTATTTCAAATTCAAATTATTCCTGTTAGTTTGAATAGTAATCTGGCATTTCTTTGTAGTTATTGTATTTTATTAAATTTATGATCTATAAATTTATCATCTTTATTTTGTATTTATATATATTTTATCAATTTTAATTTGAACAAAAAAATATTTTTTTCAATCTAGTTGAATAGATATACTATATTTTATTGAAATTTGAAAATAATATTGCTTAATATAAAATTGGCATGTATATTAATACATATCTGAGAAAATATCTACGTGCATTTATTAAATTAAATTGAATTCATAGTGATGTTAAATGGAGGTCATCCCAAAGTTATAGCTTACTTCATCCTATTTATGTTTGACATTCATGAATATTTAATAAATGTATATTTTAATCCAATCAATAATTATTATTGGTATAGAATTCATCAAGTTCCACATGCATACAATTTAAACATACCTAATTGTGTATTAATTTTAAAAGCATATAATTATTAATAACATAGTATAGATCCTTGGCTTTTAAATAGGTATATATTTTAAATACTATAAATGAGGGACAAATAAATCTATGGTTGCATATTTTTTTAGTAAAAATATTAATTATTTTCATTTTTCCTTTTTTTTTTTTTTAATAGTCTAATATCTTTCATGTATTAGAACAATTTTCTAATTTAAAATTTTCTTAATAATTATCTAATCTTGAATTATTCATTAAAAAATGTATAAATAGTGTTTAATATTTCTAAAATGTTAAATTTAATTGATATTGAAATTTAATAATTAACTGATTTATAGTTTGTAAAAATGCTACTTCATTGGTGCTGGTAAAAGTATATAGATTCTAAGTTTATTACAAATACAAGTTGATTAATTAATCTTAAAATTAACTAATTTTAGTTATTTCAAAATTTTTTATTTATTTTTTTTAATAAATTAGGCCATCAATTAGATAATTTAAGTGTAAATTGTAGTCACATTATCAGACAAAACATTAAACTACATCTAATTTAAAAGTAATATTATATTTTATTATTTAATTTTAATTTTTTGGTGCTATTTTGTAAGATTTTTACCATTTAATTGTTTTATTTTAAATGTTTTTTCTTCAATATCTGCTCTCTAATCTTAAGTATTTAAAACAATACTGACCCAATTATACTGCTACACATTGAACATATTCATTATTTAATATATAATAAGTGGCATTTATTTTTTAGACTTCTCAATAATTCTGATAAATATACCTTATGCAAAACTATTGGGAAAATATCATGGAGGTATGAATTGAAATAAAATTAAGATAATAATAACAATGAAAATTTATATATTAATTATATTCTATGAATATAATTGTATAGATCTTTTTTTTTTTAATAATATTTCTGGTAAACTTCAGAAAAAATCATGTACGAATCCCTGCATTATTTTATAATACCTTATAATCTCATTAAGTAACAATGTTATAACTATGTTTTAAATAAAATAGTATTGCTCGTTTATAATTAATATAAATAATTGTAATCTTATACTTATTTGTTTGTAATGGTTATATACTATATGTATAATATAACTATTATCCATTAATCAACTATGATTTCACATGTACCGTACTTTTACAATAACTTAGAAAAATATAATAAAATGATTCTCACCAAAAATATAAAATAAGTACCAAGTTATTGTTTTATATGAATTTTGAAGTTTTATGTTAAAAAGAATAATTTTAATTGTTTTTACTATTATTACTAATATTTTTTCACATCTAAATTATTGTATATTTAATACAATTATTAATCTCTAATTGGCAATTAATGTTGATAATTTCTTAATAAATTGTACTACGACATATTTTTTGAAAAATGAATATTTTGAGATATCAGTTTAAAACATGAATTAATTTTGGGTATCAGGTTCTCAACCAATATAGCAATTATTTCAATTTTAATTAATGGTTTTCAATTTCAAAATCAGATTAGTCATTAGTTACAAATATTGGATTTTTGGTTATTTTAAAAAAAGTCATATTGACTTATCTTCATTAAAAACATAACTATACATGGTTTAATAATTTGTACTGATTTATTCATTGTATTTTATTGTTTATAGGTATTTGGATTGGGAAATAAGACTTACGAACACTATAACGAAGTTGCTATTTACATAGATCAGCGTTTGGAAGAACTAGGTGCAACTAGAGTACATGAGATTGGTTTGGGAGATGATGATGCTAAGTAAATATTATTATTATTTAGATCATATTTAAATTTAATATTAGTGTATAATATTAATGTAAAAACTAAATAAACATATTTATTTATTTGTTAGTATTGAAGATGACTTTGTTTCTTGGAAAGAAAAATTATGGGAAAGTGTTTGCTCTCACTATGGTATTGAAGAAACTGGCGAAGAAAGTAATATTAGACAATACAAATTAGTAGACTGTTCTGAAGTTTTGCCAGAACGAATATTTACTGGAGAAATATCACGACTTAAATCTTATGAAAATCAAAAATTGTAAGCATCTATAATAAACCTGCTCAATTTTTTGATGTATTGAATGACATTTTTTCTAGCCCATATGATGTGAAGAACCCATATCTAGCTGAAATTTTAGTTAATCGAGAGCTACATAAATCTGGTGATCGTTCATGCATGCACATCGAATTTAATATTGATGGTTCAAAGATGAGGTATGATACAGGGGATCATGTTGCAGTTTATCCCAAGAATTCTTCTGAATTAGTTGAAAAAATTGGAAAACTTTTAAATGCAGATCTTGATGTTGTCTTTTCATTATTAAACACCGATGGTATGTTATTTTTAGATTATTTTTTTAGTTCTTAAATATTGATACAAATTTGAAGATTTGGTTGTAATTTATATTTTTTTACAGAGGAATCTAGTAAAAAACATCCGTTTCCTTGTCCTTGTACTTATCGAACAGCTTTAACATATTACTTAGATATAACTTCAAATCCTCGCACACATATCATGAAAGAATTAATAGAATATGCAAAAGATCCTAAGGTATGGTTTTAACATATTTCAATTGAAAAATTAAAATCTACAATTTATTCATATTTATTTGTTTGAGGATCAAGAAAAGTTGAAGCTAATGGCTAGTTCAACACCAGAGGGTAAAAAAGAATTTCACGAATGGATATTACGCGATAACCGTAATATTGTACATATTTTGGAAGATTTACCAAGTGTTAAACCAGATTTAGACCATTTATGTGAACTACTACCACGATTACAGTGTCGATATTATTCAATATCATCATCACCAAAAGTATACCCAAAATCTATTCACATTACAGCAGTTCTTGTAGAATATCCTACACCTACTAACCGTGTCAATAAAGGTGTAGCGACTAACTTGTTAGCCCATTTAAAACCTACTAATGATGAACTTTCAAAACCAACAATACCCATTTATATAAGACGATCTCAGTTCAGGTGATTATAACCTTATTATAACTTATTGTATATAATATTTAACTTATTGTATATTGACTATATTGTAATTATTTCCCAAAACTAAAATGTTATTCTGTTATAATGTGGTCAATACTTAAAATTGCATGATGAACGTTTTACAAATATCAAACTTTTTTGGTATTTTCTTATAGTTTAAAGTTATTATTAATTTATATTTAATATTTATTGATAATAGTTATTAAATGTACTATATTTATCTATTATGAAAGTTTTATCTTAATTTAATGTTACTGAATATCTATACTATACTACACTATAAAACAAATTTAAATTTATTTATTTTTATAGATTGCCAGCAAAAGCTCAAATTCCAATTATAATGATAGGTCCTGGTACAGGATTGGCACCATTCCGAGCTTTTATTCAAGAAAGAGATTATGCACGTAAAGAAGGTTTGTACTATATAATATCCAAAATGATATACTTCGTTGAAATCTTTCTAAATGTTTAATATTTATAATTTTTATAGGTAGGGAAATTGGAGAAATGATTCTGTATTTTGGATGTCGAAAGAAGGAAGAAGATTTTATTTATGAAGATGAATTGCAAGAATATGTCACTAATGGAACTTTGACCAAAGTAATTTGAAAATTTATTTTTTCATAATTTTATATTTTTATAATCTTAAAATGTATATTAAAGATATTAATTTTCTATGAATTAGTTAATTATTTTATGTTAAGTAATCTTTAATAATATTTATAAAATTAATTAGTCATAAATTATATTTTAGCTGCATTTAGCCTTTTCTCGTGATCAACCTGAAAAACAATATGTTACACATTTGTTAGAAAAAAATGCAGATGAACTATGGAATATAATCGGTATTAAAAGTGGACATTTGTATGTTTGTGGGTCTGTATTTTATTTTAAAAATATTATGTAACATTGCTATGTAAAAACTATTAATATATAATACTATTTTTTTAAAAATGTCTAGTGATGCAAGGAGTATGGCAAAAGACGTGCATAATATTATTGTTAAGGTTGTAATGGAAAAAGGTCAGATGACCAACAATCAAGCGCTCAATTATGTTAAGAAAATGGAACAACAGAAAAGATATTCTGCTGATGTATGGAGTTGATTTGTTTTACAAATTTATTTTAATAAAAGTACAATATTTAACAATTTTTATATGAAAAATATAAAAAATAATTCACCTTAAAAAATAGTAATAACAAAAATGGAAGAATATGGGCTTCTTATTTGTTTTAGTTATTAATAGATTTTTATTGATGTGAACAAATAAGTGAAAGAGAACAATAGTTTTTGTTTTGAAATGAGCTATTTTAAATGATGTGTTAAAATGTTACTGTTGACCATTTTATAATTTCTATTAAATTAGTTGTTATATTATTATTATTATTATTATTCTTATTATTGTTATAATAATAATAATTATTATTATTATTGTTATTGTTGTTGATTCAACAAAAATAAGTATTTTTCTCTTAAATAATTCAAAATTAACATTATTATGCTTAGATAAATAATTTAAATATAATATAATTCAATACTAGTATAAATATAAGACTCCTTTATTTATTATGTATTTACATAATATAACCTTATTGAGTTATAAATAAATTAGTTATGGGTAGTCATAAATTAATTTCTTAATGGTAAATGTCTTTGTGTATTTTACGTTGTTCTTATATATCTAAGATATACAGAAATAATATCATAAAACCAATTAAATATATCCAAGTATTTTTTTTAAATCCATTATCATCCAAATGAAATCAAAGTAATCTTATACAATTTTATTATTTTATTATTGAATTATAATATATTTGTTGTTTTTATGTCTTTATTATTTTAATAGTTAGAGTAATTTAAACTTTTAAGTTAAAGCATATAGTAAATTTAAAATAATAATTTACTTAATTGTAAAGAACTCTAAAATGTGTTGTAGACTAATTATATACTGCTAATAACTAAAATATGTATTTTGCTTTAAGTAACATTTCTGAACATCATTATATAAAAATTTTATCTGTACTAGTAAACACAATTTAGAGACAATCAAAGAAAATAATATAATATTTATAAATTAATCTTTCTTTATTATATAAAAAACAAAAATATATATATATATATATTTTCATAATATAAATTATAATTACAAAAAGGAAGTCATATTTTAATATTGTTCAACAAGGTACTATATTATATAAGTCACATATTGCTTTTTAGCTCAATTTCAAGTAAAATAAAGTTGCATTGTGTACTTAACTTCTAAAAATAAAAATGGTGTTCATATAATAATTAAATTATGTCTGTTATTTTAATTTGCTACAGTTTAATATTTTACATTGAGGATCTAAGTAACAATAAATGTTTCATCTATTAAGTCTTCCATAAAACATATAAGTAGTTACCATAAATTTACAATTAATGTAAAAATAAAAAATAAATAAAATTTTTTTCAATGAAAAAATGAAAAATAATGCTTTTGAATGTACTGAGATAGTTAACTTTGTTAACATGGTTTTTAAAAGTTTTTATGTGATGGTAAAAAAAAAAAAATAGTATATGTAACTATGTACAAGTTTTATACTTACAGAAATGTATTTTGTATTGTATAAATGTTCTTTTATTATATATACAAATATGTATGGATATATCGGTGTTTTCGGTTTGTAACAAATTTAAAGTTCTGGTATACTTACAACATTCTTATTTTTTTCTTGTACGTTTTTGTTATCACCTGCATTGGGGTAGATCTATACTATATATATATATTTTTTTGACTTTAGTGTTATACTTATTTTTGTCAATATTATAATGATTATTAATGTATTAGTACTTAGCAATTGGTGCATTTAAAAACAATTGTTTATTTTATTATAGAGATTTATTTGTAAGATTAGTTAACATATGTTGTCATTCCGTTTTAGTTTATACATACTATCAGACATACAGCAAGTACAAAGAAATATGAGCTTTATTACCTTGTTTTATGTAAAATTATATTGAATAAGAAGGTAATTAGAATAAAAAATTTAAAAAAATTAATATTTTTTAATATTTATTTGTTTTAATCAGTTTTATTGACAAACAGTGACTATAATGATTTTCTGGTTGATCATTGGTTAATGTAACTTTTTATCGGGCAGGAATCTACTTCAGTTTCATTTAACTCTCTTCTCCTAGTATTGCTACATAAAATACACAAATATTTGGATTTTTAAAATACTATTTATACTTACGATATAGTTTACAATAGCTTATCTAAAAAAAATAACTATAAAAAATTATTCATTCGTTGAAAGCTATAAAAAGATGAATTATTCATGACTATTAGTTAATTACATCGTCAGTAATACTTGAAAATATTCCACTAGTCATTGCAACATAATACCTAATAGTATGAATATTATATTTTGTATATTGTATAATATATTTTTAATTTTTGTATTTCTTAGTACTGTATGACAATAAAATAATATAATGAAATAAATAGGTATGTTATAATTTATGCTTGTTAATACTGTTAACAAATTAAAATAAAAGTGAATGTGTGTTGTTATGATACATTTAATGATTTAATTGAGATATGGTACTCGGAGAGGGGGTGTTGGCGTATCCCCCACGAGTTAGTGTGAGCTACGTTATTTCAGCACCCCCAATATTTGGGCTCTAGTTCTACCTATGAATAAAGGTAGTAAATTTATTTAAATATATACTTGTAAGCTCGCTACTAATTTTTATGCATTTATAATATATAAATATATTATTAGCAAGGCTAACTTAAGGCATTTGCATATTTGTCTGGAAAGTACATATTGAAATTCTGATTCGATACAAATTTGATTCTTAGTATGTATATCTCAGATATAAAAATAAAACCACCGCCGGCCCGTATTTATTTTTATACAAATTTACCACTATTAATATTTTGTGTCATGACATAAACAAATTGTATAACCATAAGTAATTCGTAAACAATTATATTTAACCATTAGATTATCAGCTTATACACAATATCATTTCTGCTCGTTATAATACTACATACATCTGCATGCAAGCAACTCAGGGGTATACTTAGACTTACTTCTAGGGGGGGACTCGAATTTTTTCTTGAATTCAGGCTCAAAATTTACAAGTAAAATTTTTAGTAATATTTAAATCAGATGAATCCTTAATATTTGTGGTTTTTATTATTTTTTCTTTAATCTTATGCTGGATCCATTTAGAATGGACTTATGTGTAGTTCTTTTTTTAACACCCATCTGTGTTTTGAAAGTTTCGCATGGGTTTTATTTGATTTTTCACTAAGTATAGACCAGGGCTTAAATCAAAATAATATATATTGTTTACCGTTATGGGACATTTAAACGTTAAAAGCAATTGAGTTTTTAACGTTATAAATAATTTAAACGTTATTCAATTTAAGCGTTTAAACGTTTAAAAAATGTTCCGCCTAACGTTATTGACAATTAAAACGTTATGAACATTTTAGCGTTTTGCGTTATTTAAATTAGAGTAAAATTTAAAACGTTTTCAACTGTAGTATTTAGCAATCAATACTATGTAAAATTACATATTTTAAATATTATATTATATATATATTACCTTTAACCAGTCGTGTATTGATAAATACATTTGTGGGTTACACATACGCACTAAAAAAATATGAATATTAATCCTAAAATAAATTTTCTCGCTTCGCTCGACAATTGTTTTTTTTTCGATACGTTCGAAACAATGTAATTAATCCTTTGTAATTACATGTTTATAACTTCTATTAACACTATAAAATATAACACCACAAGATATACATTTGCAGCGCGTTATAAATTGCATGATGCAGATTTAAGAACCATGGGCTGAATGTTCACACTCCATACTATTTTATTCAATATTATTTACTACAGTTTACAAAATACATTAAACACAGCGTACACTGTTATCTTCAACAGCTAAATATTTCAATCAATTTCATGGTTCATAACAATTTTTACCAATGAACTATTAAATTATAATTAGTTTTTTTGGTTTTCAAGTTATTTTAAAAGCGTATACTCGTAAAATAATATTTTAAATTAGGTATACGCCGAAAATCTGCTGTTGTGAATACGCCGTATACCCGCGTATACATACCAATACACCCTTGCCTCTAACGTGTTGCGTGCCAACAAACGGTTCGTATTTCGGTAACTGTATACGAGGGGCAAATGATAAGTAATGCACAATTGTGAATTTTTCGAAAATGAAGAGAGATAATTGAAATGAAAAAAATATATTTAAAAATACACTTCTTTAGCTAGAAATTAATACCTTTATTTTTCAATATAATCACCATTTACAGATATACACTTCTCCCAACGAGTTACAAGTTTTTTCATACCATCACTGAAATATGTAGCTGGTCTCTCTTTTATCCAAGACTTCACTGCTTCCTTGACTTCTTCGTCCGACGTGAAATGGGTGCCTTTGAGGTCTCTCTTAAGGTCCGGGAAGAAGTGGAAATCACAAGGTGCCAAATCTGGTGAATACGGTGGGTGTTGAAGAACCTCGAATTTCAACTGTTTGAGAGCGGTACTGGTTGCATTTGATGTGTGAGGTCGAGCGTTATTGTGATGCAACAAAATGGTGTCAAATGATCCACGAACGCGACACACTCGTCTCCTTAATTTCTTCAGTGACTCAATGTATCGGGCTGAGTTTACACTTGTCTCCTTTTCTAAATAATCCGTTAGATAAACTTGATTTCCATTCCAAAATACCGTAAGCATAATCTTTCCTGCAGAACGCTGAACCTTGAACTTTTTGGGCTGGGGAGAAGTGACAAGACGATATTCCATACTTTTTTCCTCTGGATCATAGTGATGCACCCAAGTTTCGTTACCGGTCACAATTTTTAAGAGAAACTGCTCTCCTTGGTGATAACGATTCAACAACTTTTGACTACACTCAACTCGAATATTCTTGTTTTCCTGTGTCAACATTTTCGGTACCCAACGAGCGCAAATTTTTCGATAGCCAAGTTGCTGAATAATGAACCCGACTCTTTCTTGCGGCATCCCAACAATATCAGCTATGCGGTTTTGAGTTATTCGACGATCATTTTTGATAAGCTCGTCCACTTGAATTCGATGTTTTTCATCCGTAACAGTTACAGGTCGTCCATCGCGATGTTTATTCAGAATATTCAT